GATAGTTAAACAGCTCGTAACGAATTTAGAATATACCATCGGAATCAAATTTTAAAGTGTCCGTGAGTTGTTAGTCAAAAACATTAAAAATAATTATTTATTAAATGTTTTCTAATTTAAATCTGAATTTTTAGAATATACTATAAGAATAAGATATTATCAAAAATATTGTTGATAGCATTTTTGCGATTTTACTAATTTGTAAATGATATTAAAAAATTTAGGTAGGGGTTGGATTTTTCGGGTTTTGGTGGCAAACAGTTCCCCTATTGTTATGGTTTAGTTTTAGGAATGTTGGGGTATACATTTACATAATACTATAGTTAATGTTACCGAGGCGGTTTATTCCCAGTCATCTATTACACACTATTAATTTTGTTTCTCTGACATCTAAAATATTTAATGCGTATTTAATGAATTAAACAGAGAAAGGATCGCAAAAGGATGTTCTTTGAATCGAGAAAACACAAAAGGTAAGTATTTAAATGGATTTCCTTTTTAATAGTGTCGATGGTAAAAATAAATCAAAAAATAAATTCTAAAAAATCAACCAATAGAATCGCTAGAATTCTTCTGAGAAGGGTTGTGTGAGTGACACGTGTCAAAGTGACTTCTCTTTTAATGTATAGGGGGATTAGGTAACTAGCTAAAAGAAAATTTGACCAAGATATTCTATGTATTTTCTAAAACATATGCCAAATTGCCTTTTCTGGTAACCTCTTATTTTTTCTTCTTTGTCCTTTTCTCTCCCAATATTATTTACATATGTTTTTTTATTTTGTTTTATTCTCATCATCAATTTTTTTTTAATGTTTGTTCCAGTTGTGTAAATATTATAACTATATCGCGGGATGAGATGATTAAATTTGTTGTATTTTTGAAGATAAGAAGATATTATATATGTTTTATTTGCATATTAGTTTGTTTTGGATTGGTTGTTTCGGGATAACCCGTGCCTTGCGCGGAATGAAATATTTAATAAACATAGGTTGGAAATTTATGAAGTTATAATAATTTTGTTAAAAGATATATAGTTTACATTTACGGGACGTAAAAAAATTTAGGACGTTTTTTATTATTTTGAGTTAACATTTCTATATGTGTCTATATTTGATAAAAAAAAGTAATTGGTTTTATATCATATATATAAAATTACTCTTCAAAATTTAGATTATAAACATGGATTATAAATTTATGGTTGTTTTTCGGGTAGTTTGTTAATACATAGTTATAGTAGTCTGAGACATTTTTGTATGTATATGAAGCCTATTTTGTAATTTATGTATAATTATTACTACTAAGTTACATTTTCTTACATATATATGTACAATTTCTTATAATTTTCTTATACCACGATGTAAATATACATGTTCTTGTAATATTTATCAAAAATAACAACCGATATCACCATTTTATATAATAATTTGATTCATTAATATACATAAAAGTATATTCAATATATATATATATATATATATGTATGTATGTACATAAATGTACATAAATAAAAATATTCACCTTTCCAAATTTTAATTTTTCTAAACCTCATGACACATAGCACTAAATGTTGACCACAAAGCTAGAAAGCTTTTTTAACATCTGAAGCAAACTTACTCCATAACACCAATGGGAGTTGACATCCCTAAGCTCTTTCTAAGTATATAAAGCTCTAAGATAAATAAGCAAACTAATTGTACTAAATATTGCATAATTCAATCCAAATTTTGTTTGTTTCTTTCCCATTGACTACACAACTTCAAGATGTGTCACTTCCACGATATATCTGATTACATCTGTAAGATTAAAAT